TGTTCAGAAGTGATGGAGAAACTGAAGCAGTAGTAAGTGTGTGTGTATCAGTCAGTGAAGGTCAATCATTTTGTTGTTTTATGGCTGTGCATCTGTGAAACACATGAGTGTTGAACACACACACACACACACACACACACACACACACACACACACACACACACACACACTTTCTACTGATGTTCTGCTGATGCCCGCAGCACTGAGCAGAAGCTGCAGATTTAAACTGAATTATAACGTCTTCCAGGAATTATCGTTCACTGTTGAGTGTGTGTGTGTGTGTGTGTGTGTGCGTGTGTTTATTGAAGGAATATTTGTTTGTCATCTTCATGTTTCAGACTCATGACTGTCTTAAAGGTCTTCCAGTTCATCTGATCAGTGCAGTGTTATTTCAGAGTTTATATAACATCATTCATTCATTCATTTTCGGCTTATTCTCTTTATTAATAAGGGGTCACAACAGCGGAATGAACCGCCAACTATTCCAGCATATGTTGTTCACAGCGGATGCTCTTCCAGCTGACAGCGTTATTGTTTGACAGAGTTTGCTCAACACGTCTGAAGAGTGAGGAGGGATCCGGTGGTGAGGGGTGTGAAGGATGCGCGACTTATTTGAGGACCGGGAGGGAGACGCGGGATTTCCAGGAGATTATCACTCATTTCCGGGCATCCGGGAGTGTCTGTGCATTTGTGGGAGACTTGGGATGTCTGAATATCATGTTTAACAACTATAGTGAGATGCGATCCAGCGGTACATCCTTGATAAGCTGTCTGACAGTGTGTGTGTGTGTGAGAAATGTATGAAATGTACCAAATTATAGAAATATTACAGAGTAAAAACATTAAATACTGTAAACAGTGGTTAGATTTAGGAAAGGTTCAGTTATCATGAACTAAACTGAACTGTTTATAAAACAATAACACTGATCCTGTTGAACTGAACAGAAACCAGCAAATTAAAGTAAATTGATTAAAATAATCATAACCATTTTTATAATAATCACCAGTTATTAAAGAGAGGTCTGGCTGCAGACCAGGGGCCTCATGTACGAAGACTTGCGTGGAAATCATTCTAAAACATTGCGTACGCACAAAGCTGTAAATGTGCGTACGCAGAAAAAAGTTCAGATGTATGAAACACTGCGTACGCTGAATCTCACGCATATTCTTTTGTACATCTGAATGAACGTGAAACTGAGCGCAACATGCACGAGCACAAAACTCCTCCCTGCCTCCTCCCCCGTATGAATATGCTAATGACTATGC